TTCGAGATAGAAACAAAGTGTGCCACATCGAATCGTTACTTTTGAGCGGCTGGAGGTCTCTTTGAATGAACGATCCTACTTTTATCAAAACTTCTAACAATATTTAGGGGGGTCAAGGTTCTACTTAATAAGAATTAAATATTCTTCCTTTTGCAATTTTTAGCATCAAGGCAATATGCAGTAAATAGTATTGAAATGATAAGATTTTTATATTTTTTCTTTAATTAAATTTAGTGACATCCAGCTCTTGTACACATGCATCAAGATGACAAGAATAATGTGAATTCAATAAAGTTGTTTTAAACGTCATCTAAACCTTTTTTCCTCAAACTGCCATAATTAATTGATGTTAAATATATTTTCCTAACTTTCCTGTATGTCCAAAAAAGGAGTCAAATTATTGTCACGAGGTACCCACACCCACACGGTCACACTTTAAGTGAAAAAGTTAAATCGAAGAAATCACAATTCGTTTTCCTTCTACCAACTATAAATTACAATTAGAGTATCATTATCTATATATTCACAACTAATAATCCATTATGAAGGTTAGTTAAAAAAAACATTGCATTAGCAATCTTATAGGAAAAGGCAGTCCATGCAAGCAGTGTCTTCAAAAGTGCCCATGGCACACACCTTAAGGTCTGCCTATATGTGACGTGCGCATTGGGGGACCTCACAGCCTTGTTCTTTTAAAGCATATTTTACCGATCCCAGTTTTTTGCTTTAGTCTCTTGATCAGAACATTTATGGGTTGTTTGGGCTGTTTTGAACACATACCAACCTCAAAACTAGGGGAGAATTTTAAAAAAAAAAGGAACTGGAGAATTAAATTCCATTAGACAAAGTTATCTCGGCATCACATTTACTATACAACTATTACTACCGTCTTCCAAAGGCAACTCATGTTTTAAATCATCTCGCTGATGATACTGAGGTTCCAAGGCCACTCTGTTGTAAGGACCAGAATTGCATTCTCCAAAATACAAGTGCCTTGCCACTTTCCTGGCATGCCTTCAACTTGAACCTAGGCGCTTGTAAATTATGGGCTCTTGCCTAAATCTTTCTATTGCATCACTTGGATCAAAGGCCACTCTCAATCTTGCTGGTTAAACTTAGATTTAGAAACCATGACACTGTCATCATCTACTTGCCACAACTTCCTCTTTTTATCCCTTCTGTAAATATTACCATTACTATTCAACGGACACCAAGGCTTAGCACCATTTGAATGTAAATTGTAAGTCAAATCATCTTGCAGATTAGAAATAGATTCAGAAACCATGGCATTGTCATCATATACATGCCATAACTTCCTCTTTTTGTCCCGCTTGTAGATATCACCATTGAATCTCAGTTGACTCCCAGACTTAGAGCCATTCAAATGTAACTCGTCCCTTGAATCATCTTGCTGACTACACTTGGATTCAGAAACCACAAAGTCGTTGACATCTACTTGCCATAACTTCCTCTTGCTGTCCCTCTTGTAAGTTATTAGTCCCTGTTTCAATTTATTCGCTTGAAGGCAAGAATCATTCTCGCTAGTGCCTATAAGTATTTCGTTCTCCATAACATTAATAAATGTGTCCGGATTCCAACCTTCACCATTATTCCTTCCTAAACCCGATCTTTTAGCCGACGAATTAACTGAATCCCTACTCTTCAAAATCTCGAAACAACTTGACTTCCCTATGCACTTACTCCTCAAAATTCTTGGTGAACTATT